ACTAAATATAAATAATAATTTACATTCAAACTATTATTTTTAGAATAACCAAATGAATTTCTGTGCTATCAAAAATTCAATCCAAAATTAAATAAGAATGCTTTCGAACAATATATTACCAGTTTAGTTATTGAGAAAACTGATTTAACATAAAATGTATTTAATATTGATAAGCATTTATTATACATCAATGTCATACTTAGAACACAAATGTGCCCTACCAACCTCCTGCTCGAAAATGGATGGTTTAGTATATACTAAATATTATTATATTATGTTTATATAAAAAGAATCTTCCTTAATGACCAAAGGGTATAAACAAATAAATAACTTATTAACGGATATCAGAGTATCCATATTTGTCTCTTACATATAAATATCAGATCAAATGTAAAGATCCAGACTACCGAAACTTCAAACTCCCATAGGAAGAAATTTCTGATTTGAAAAAATAAATATTGAATTACTAAGAATATTTATTACAAAAATATGTTTAAAAATATTCTTGTCAGTATTATAATCAGATATTTTTATCAATCTTAAAAATTAAATTCATATAATAAAATCTACTACCAATATTCAATTCTATTCGGTTAAACTAGTTACATACAGCTGTTTCTAATTTTACTCATCAGAAGAAGTCACTTACAAAAATCAAGTTATAAGTCCATAAAAGCTGATATTATAATATTTAATAACTAGTACAAAAAAATATTATCACACTCCTCCTTCATACCTAATATTATTCTTTAAAAAATGCACCTATTTTTTCATGAAAATATTTTTGTATATGATACCTTACGCCCTCTACATCTTACAGTTATTATATACGTTATTGAAAAACACCTTTCAACGAAAAACTTACATCCTCTATAAATTGTAGCAATTACTTTCAATTTACCTTACAATAAAATAAAATAAAATCTCATTTAATACTTGCGAAAATTAAATTTCAATATATAGTCACATTTATCAAATTTTTCATAAAAAATAACTATAAAATTGAAAATATTTATTCAAAAATTACACACAACTTAATTTCATGGTCAATAAAATAATTGAACTCAATTTATTCTATTTAAAATTTATCTTTTTTAAGTTCGCAATAGCAAAGTAGACAAGTGGCGAATTCTCATTGGTAAGTGCACAATTACAATTATTCAGTACGAAATCCCATTGATAGGTGGGGAATTTCCACAGGTGAGTCAAAACGACTACGATTAATAAGTAAAAATATCCGATTTATGAGTAAAAAATCCTATTGTTAAATGGTGAATCACCAAAGGTAAAGTGCAAAAATATGATTTTTAAGTAGAAATATCCGATTTATGAGTACGAAACTCTATTTTTAAGTTGGAAACTTCCATAGGTGAGTGCAAAAATATGATTATTAAGTACGAAATCCACTCGCTACCGGTGATATATAAAAGGACGCGCGTGTCGATGTAAAAACATACCAGTTTCATCTTGTGCATATTTACACAATACTCTCTTCTCAACGTCGAGTTACAATAAACAACTATGCAGGTTAGTCAACAAATTTTCTCAATCGTATTCTTGGTTTTGGTGGCAATAAGTTACATCACAATGGCACATGAAGCAGCAATTCAAAGTGAAGGTGTCAAACGTTCGTAAGGCTGTTCGATAATCACATGGTCATTCGAGGTGATTGAGGGACTAGCACGTCTGATAACTATTAGCTTAAATTATAGGAAGGAAATAAAGAGTAAGATCAACAAATCACTTGATCAGCAGTGTTTATGATTATTGATAAAAATCAGTTATTTGTAACTCAAAACGCCTCTTATGAATCGAAACGCATTATTTTTCTTTAAAGTAGATTTAGTTCTATTTCGATTAATGGACATCAATAAAATGTTGAGGGTGCCATTGTCGATCTATTTTTTTGACGACTACCACCGTCTGTTTAATATCTATATGGTACGAAGCACAATGTGTAGGCAGCCGCCATGAGTCTATCGTGTTCTCCATATAGATAGGCATGTGAGCATGAAAGAAATGAAACAATAGAAGATACTACGGAAGAATGCTGTTGATCGATAGCAGAACGTAAGAATAAACGTCGTTTGAGAACTGAATTTGTGGCAAAGATCGTCCGCGAACTCTTTTTTAGCAAAGAAGAGAAAGAATGGTACCATGTACAAGCAAGTTAAAAGCAACGTATCTGATTTAAACAATTTTAGAGTTAGAAAGGGCTCTTTCTGAAGAATAATGGTCAAATTCAATGTTCCGGTTTCATTGTAAAATGATACTCATTAAATGGAAGCCCACTATTTGTTACGTATTTTTAAAAAATTAAATAAGCTTTTGATCTTCATATCAGGCTGGATTTTGGAATCATCTCTTTATTTTTGTTGATGATATACATATTGATAGGCGAACGTAAATATCATGAGTCCTTGTGATATCTTGATCCTGCAGCTCATTTGGGGAGTGACTTCTATGTAACGAAGCGGCCCATTTCAGTCTAGATAATAGCTTCAGAGACCTGGTACACACGTTTCATCCTTCGCGAAACTATGGAACATCACGGTGAATCTTGATGGTAGATGGGTAGGTGTGAGTGTGGTTGTAGGTGTAGCTCTTTTTATAATTATATCTACACCCACACTCACACTTCCTAATACTATCAAATATAAGTTACAGAAATCAAAGTTATAAGCACATCATAAAACGATCATTGTAAGTCGCTTGGTGCATATCTTAACTATAATGTCGTGTTATACGCGTGTGTCGAATGTCTTTTATATATTGCGATTGTTCATAACACAATTTATAAAAATTATGACTGAAGAATCTCAATAGATTCTGTGAATCTTAATAATTCCTGATGGTTCCTAGCTTTTTCAGATGGCTCCCAGGCACCGCCAAGAATCACTTTTTCCTCTTGATTTTGCATATAACTTTTTAATTCTTCATTCAAACTACGATTTATTGACGTATGTATTTATTCTTTCTGTCAGATTAAAATTTTATTTTTGTCCTGTCTGTTGATTTGAAGTATACCGACGTCCGAAAATGAGAGAAAGAGGAATGGGAGATGTATCTGTATAGGAATAGTTCTTTTTCAGTATGTACAAGAGTCTATTTTTTAAACGTTATTTAAGAAAAATGAGTGTCACGAATAGAGTCTTGGAGCTCTTGATGGATGAAGTGCCTCAGCACCCATCCACCTATCAACACACTATAGTGTTCCAAGAAGATGAAGTGGCTACTCACTTGTTGGGAATATTGGAGTCAGTTTTAAGTAGTGATCCATACACACATGAATATGAAACTACGCTCAATTACTCGATTTCTGACTCGTATCTCGATGGTTCTTATGAAGACCTCGACTAATAAGAAGACGATATAAAAACAAAAGTTTTCGAAGACTTCAC